TTGGTAAGGGGGCGCCGGCGGCAGCAGCAGCAGCAGCAGCATGTGAGACTCAGCCTGACGTTTCCCAGCAGAGGAGAATCTTGAAAAGTCATCTTCTGAAACTCACTCAGGTGGCAGAAAGGAGACACAGCTGCAGAATCCATCATGGTCTACAGACATGCTACAGGTTAGTGAAGCAGCTAGCATTAGCATGTGTGCCTGAGAGTCATTATCAAAGGACATTTTCTTCTGTCTGTGCCTCAATGTTTGACATGAAGGACAACCTTCTTCAGTATGTGGTCTACGGTTGTCTGTATAAAACATGATGACTATTCTACAACAAATCGTTGACGCGTTAAACTAATATCTTCATGAACTTCATGAGACGTGTGGGGATAAAGGATGGGATGGGATGGGATGGGAGGAAGCCCCCACCCACACCCCCACCACCACCACCACCCCCCACAGACACCAAGGTCATTCTCCCATGTGGAGATAAACAAGGGCGGGTGGGAAACACGCAGGAAATTCTGGTAACGTTCATTAATCGAGAGTCCTTTGTGAGAAAAATCTAAAAGTTCACTTCATACAGTCGTTATTAGGACTTTTTAAACAAGTTTCTGCCGTTTTTATATAAAGCTGACGTTATTTTAAATAAAACTGACGTTACTACACAGACACTATATTGGCTATATAAAATATCTAATTAAACAATTTAAATATTTAGTCAGTGAAAACAATCACACAAACTGGAATTGCTATTCTGCCAAACGAGGCGGTCTTCTTTGCCTGTGCTAACCGATGCTAACGGTTCAAAGTAAAGAAATCGTTAACGTTGTAAAACCAGATAATCTCGCAACTTACCAGAGAGCGTCACCTCCTGGCTAACTTCGGCCCATTCCTCTCCCTTTTGTATTCCGTTCCGATAAAAAATGTATATCACCCTCTCTGGACCGGAAGTTCACACACGGCGATGGTGAGTTTTTTCCTCCATTGTTGGTGCGAAGGCATCTGAAAAGATCGCCTGATCTAAAATCGCGTTTGTGACGCCATTACAGTTGATTGTGTACGTGGAGTTGCCGCTCAATTCCCACCAATGTTTGGTGTGATGTAAAAGTAAAAGATTCATGACGAACTTTTTTTTCAGGAAAAAAAAACTCTAACTCTAACCATAAATTTAATTTTGGTAAGGACTGTGTAACTAAATGGAGACCGGAGAATCTTGTCCAATGTTTAATGTGTTGTCAGTGGCAGATGAGTCATTTTAATACCAAGCTGCGGCTGGACACTTGTTTTCTCCTGGTGCCATTTTTCCTGAGCTCGCCTCGTGATACCTCACATGAGTTATGGAGGCGGCATCCTGCCACCGCACAAGAACCAACCTTTCTCTGTCTGCAGCTGCACCGCGAGGCGGCGGAGGCTTTTATTAAACCTGCTTTATCACCGCACTTCTCTCATACAGTGGAAGCAGGCAGGGGGAGACAGACGGGAGCAGAGGAAGGAGAGGAATAAAAGTCAGGAGGAAGAGCTGAAGAAAAGTTGAAGGCCATAAATTCCCAACATCATAAAGCAGGTCCACATCCATACAGGCTCATCAGCATCAACGCCAGAGCCAATAAAAGAGCAGCATCTGCTCCAAACAGCAGCCCAGAATCCTTTCAGAGAAATAAAAGCCTGTCAGATCCTCGGTGATGGACCAAGCTTTTCATCTTCAAGGGTCTGAAAATCCTGTCTGTCGGCTCAAGGTGTCTCAGATCTGCAGGAGCCGCCATCTTTGATGAGGACTTCATCGATAACAGTGTGTTTAGTGTCTTTATCTTGTTCATCCATGACTTTCAGGGTTAACACCTACTGTGACATCACATCCTCTGAAAGCTTCACTCTCATTTGCTGTCATTTTTGAACTTCCCTTCTGTGAACCAAACAAAATGAAGCAAATATATTAGAAGTCAACTGATGAGATCACAGCTGAGTTCAAGAACTTAGTTTTATTATTAACTTATTAATAATCAAGTATTTTAGCGTTGAGTGTTTTTTTTTATGTTTTATTCATAATGGACATGTGGTTGTTGTTCATACACATTGACCATTGGTTTCAATGGTTGTCTGTGTATGTGGCTCTGTGATGGACCAGTGACCAGTGACCAGATGATACTCAGTTTCCTGATATGTCACCAGCGCCCTCTGCCCCCCTTCCTTCGTCATGAATGAATGATGAATCAAACTTGGACCAAATCAAAGATGAGAGCAGTTTGTGTCTGGCTCAGGTTTAGGATGAGTCACAGATCAGACAGAGTATCCAGGAAGCTACGACTTGTAGTGTATGACTAAGACCTGTCAGTCACACGCACACACACACTGACACACACACAGACACACACAGACACACTTCCTGCTCCTGCAGCGGAGCCAGGACGACCTGTTCTGGTCTTTTCAGCATCAGCCGTAGGTTTTTGTTCAGACGTCTGTTTTCTTCATCCTCTCTGGATTCACACAGTCCAGTATCCATGCCCCTTCAGCCCAGGGACCCGGGGGTCCGATCCCTCCCTGAAGCATCCTTCTGAAGTTCAGACGCTGGGGCTGGGGAAACCATCTGCCTGGACCAGGAGTAGGAGCAGGAGCAGGAGGAGGAAGAGGAGGAGGAGGAGGAGGAGGAGGCCCGCAGCATCTGTTTCAGCAGTAAGTCCAGCGTTCTGAAGGAATCTATGATCCACACAGACCACGTCCATCACATCCTGGAGCTTAAGACTCAGCATCCTGCA